CATCTGGACAATATGATTGACCTAGAAATAACGAAAACGTTGTTAATCAAATGAACGTGAATTTAATTTGATTCTTACCATCAGGACATTGAACTGAGTTGGATTCTATGTGTTTTTTGGCATATGGACTGATAAAATTAAAATTAATCTCATTTGTAAACCAGGATGAGAGAGATTTCTTTTTTAAACATCGACTATGTTCTGTATCACACGTGTAACCATGAGGACAACAATGTTCATGATCATCTATGGAACGATAAAGAAATATTATAAATACTTGCAGAATAGCGTTGTGACCATATACATACCGCAACAGACAGCATCAGCTAAAATAAACAAATATTTAATTAATGATCATATGCTCACATGTGGATAGAGAATTTTTTTTCATAATTAGTAGAACTCAAATATATTTTGAATTACAAACAGAAAATATAGTTCGAAAAGAATCAGATCATCTTAAAACTATGTCATAGAACTTGTGGTTGAAGCGTCCTTTTCAAGAGAAGATCTAAGCACATGAGAATGCTTTTATCAACAATAGGTGTGCGCATGAGTCCATTTCTAATAAAAATGTTTAAAAGAAAGTTGTCAAATTCCATTAGTTAAATTAAGAATATTGAACAAAATTACGTACGCAAAGGGCAACAACCATATTGGCCACTGGCCAATTTACAGCATGTTTGACCATCTGGACAAAAACTAAAAAGAGAAAAAGAGTGGCTTAGAACATAGGAAGATAACCAAGTATTTTTGTTTTTTTCAACATTCTGACCTTTGACCATCTAAAAAAAAAGATGAAAGAAAATAATTGTGTAAGTTAGGTGAACAGAACTATCATCGACAAACGACGTACCTGGACATTGGACAGATTGTTGAGTTAATGAGTGTGGAATTAATTTGAAACCAGTCTGAAAGAAAAGGATAAATCGTAATTAGTTATCCAAATCATTTTCAAGTAGTCTCCGACGTGCGAACTGGATCTGTGACAATCAATACAGAGGGCAATTATTGCTTGTGAAAAATAATCTGATTTTTTACAACTACTGTAGATAAATAGTATTTTTATAAGTATAATATAGTAGCAGAGCACCCAAATCGCCTGATTTTTAGATTTTTCTTCTGATGAAAACTCCCCTGATTTCAGGAGATGATTTTTAAGACTTTCTCCTGATTTCAATTGTAATACTGTTTTATCAAAAAATATTTGAAGAAAAACAATTTTTTTGAAACAGTAATTCGATTTTTTTTGTTTTGCTTGTCCAAGAAAAAAAAACTACCTAATACTCTCCTGCTTCTCTCCTGATTTCGAAAAAGAAGCATCTCCTGATTTTTCTCCCGATCAATTACTAATTTTTACGAAAAACTTCTGATTTCGAAAAGCTGAATTTGGGCACCCTGTATAGTAGTTGTTTTACATACAGTTTCAACAAATTGAACTTGATTATTTCCCTGTTCAACAATTTTCGATGTACAATTTCCACCTGGTGCACATTGTTGATTTTTTTGACAACATGTTTGACCATCATTACAACAGATGGCATCTTCTAATGGACAACATGCCCATAGACCCTGATTGGTAAGACAACATGTTTGACGATCAACACATGTGACCTACAACAACAACAACAAAAAAAAAATATTATATGAAAAAATAATCTAAAATCGTTGTTCTGTGATAACTAACATTTGTTGGACAATTTAATTGATTTGCTGCTTGAGTTGTATGAACGAACAATAATAATAATGCCAGTGAATAGAACATGACTGTTCAATAAATATTCTAGAGTGATAAAAAACAGTGTGACTTGTCCCTTTTTTGTTATCAGACACGACAATATTCTTTACATGTATAAGTAGAAGTGAATAAGATGATAATCGAGATAACAGAATGTGAGAGAGAAAAAAAAAAGAAAAAACAAAAACAAAATAATATTTAGGTCATATTTCAAAATAGAATGAGAAAATAGTTATCGTCACGACATATGTTCGTACCTAATGAGCACAAATAACAACAACAACTACTCTTATCAAGTTGAATATAAAAATTGACTCATTAATTACAGCAAGACCTAAGTGATTATCAATTGATATAGAAAAAGTCATACTATACTTAAGATTAATTCATTCTTTTCCTCACTCTTCTTTCTAAGATTACCTAATGATACATTCGGTTCAACTGGAATTTTAGTCTTATAACCTTGAAAAGCGATATTATTTAATGAAGGAATCAAATAAGTTTACGGAGTACGTCTGTTAAATGAAATATTCAAAATATTTTTATGTGAGCCTACAAAATAATCGTAATAAATAAGGAATTGTTATATAAATTTCATGGATCAGCCATAAAGAATAGCGGTCTCAGTATTCCACAAATATCTTGTTCAATTTTTATTGTTAAGGCTCCAACATTTTTGTAAACAAATTTTGTAGCCCTTGAAAAGTTCTATCAGTTGGATATGTGGCTATGTTTAAAACTTCTTATAATCACAATTCGTTGCAAGAGGTTTTGCTTATATCGATTTTATCAAAAATCACATCGTTTTCAAACTGCAATTTTGGTGGCATTTGAGAAAAGTTTTACAAATCGACCAAAATCAAATAATTTGATGTCTAATATGCTTTATCTTAAAGAAAAATAATTCTTCTGTTACATCCGAATAGAGAAAATTCGATAGCTCCATGTCCTTTTCACTGACAAGGCGAAAAGATGGAAATTTTCCTTGTTTTTGGTAGACTATAGTAAAATAGACTGGTGTATTAGAAAAACACGTTCAAAGCCCACCTCTGATACATGAAACGAAAGACGAAACTTCGAGATACCAGAACATATGTTTAGATTCTACTTTATTGCATAGCATCATGTTCAAAATAAATATCTTTTCGTTGTGTTTTGGATTTGAAAGCAATGGAAACAGAAGCTTTACAGTATTTCACCTATATTCTTTTATTTCTATGGTATAGAAAAATAGTTTTATACTTATATGTTTTTTTGTAAACGATTAATCTTTTGAAAAAATGTTGAACCATTGAGAATGAAAATTGAGCAAGGTATTTGCGGAATACTGAGACCGCCATTCTTTATGGTCTATCCGTTAGAATAAGAAAAGAAAAATATGTCTACATAAAACAAGAGTATTGTCGATTAAGATTATTGGTTATTTTATTGTGTATGCTATTTTGAAATGAAATTGTGTAAAATATTTGAATAAGACAATTTCTAAAAATATATCTACGAAGTCCACTAAAAATTGAAGATAAACTGAAAACAGATATAAAAATATCATTTTGATATAGTCAAAAACATTTTTCATTTGTTTTAAAAAGTATCTCGAGAGTGAGATTGTAAGCATCAATTCATGTACAAGACACTTTAACGGATAAATGATAGTCTCAGTTCTCATCCTTTCGGATTAAAATTTGTTGTTTTTTATTAAAGATTCAGCGTGTTGAATTCTCTACAAAACCATTGGTGAATAAGTGTTATTCATAGAAAAGTAAAAAGATTATTGAAGAAATACTGAAAATATGAAATATCAACAATTTTCTAGCACAAAACACACATGTAACTCAGCTAAAACTTATGCTTTTAAGATAAATTTTTGTTTTTATTTGATAATTCATACTATAAACAAGGATCTTCATTTCGAACAAATATTTTTTTCTATTCACCATGTTCAAGTGCTCGAGATTAAATATAATGAATTTCTGCCTTTCTTTTTTACAGAAATTAGGCTCTCTATCGACATTTTAAAAGTTGAAGTGTTCTTCTGTATACTGCGTACTTAATTGTACTAGAAATGATGCTTTGACGCTTTTGAGTAAGTATTTTGCTATTGGAAAGGAATCGAAAATTGGTTTGCTTATTTGTGCTAGAAAGTTGTTGATGTTTCATATTTTCAGTATTTCTTCAATAATCTTTTTACTTTTCTATGAATAACACTCATTCATCTATGGTTTTATAGAGAATTGAACACGCTGAATCTTTAATAAAAAATAAAGTAATTCCGAAAGGATGAGAACTGAGCGAGATATTGAGACCAGAATTGCCAGACGCTTAGATCAGGAAAGCGTAAATTTTTTCCAAAGTACGAAAAAAAAGCGAAAACGCATTTTTCACCAAACGCAAAGGATATCAAAGAGGGTTTTTTCTAGCGCTTTATGATGATTCCACTTAAGAAACATAAAACATCATTTAAATCCCAGTTTAAATCGATATTGACTTTTTATGAATACGCGTTATAATCAGCCGTTTTTAGCGTAATTTCAAGAGTTATGTATGGCAGGATAAAATTTAATTCGAAACGTTTGCGCCTACAACAGCACTTAATGGTTAAGATTTTCTGATCGAGTTGTCGTTCATGAACATTTCGTATTTTACTATTTTTCACACTCACTTTCAACCGCACTTGAGACAAAGCTTAATGTTTTTCTGTTACCGCTCACTTACGGAGCAAATTTCTGATTTAGTTTTTAAAACAGTGCGCATCTGTTTAATAAAAGTTGCAAAAGCATTATTTTGACAAGTCATTCAACCAAATTTTTGATGAGAAAATGTAAAAATTTTCATTGCAGAAAAAAAGGACAAAAACAAAAAATCCTCGAAAAGTGGACAAATTGTGGAAAAAAACTACAGAAAGCGGAATTTGTCCGCAAAATGTGGACTATGTGGCAATTCTGAATTCAAACTATCATTTATTCTGTCATATTTGTTAGAATGTAAATCAATTAGGATCTCAATAATCTTAGAATCATAACGCCGATCAAATAATATAAACAAATAAAATCAATTTACACACTGAAGACTGACGTTTATTGCTCTTTGAAATAAAATAAATATTTATATTCACAACAGAAAATACATATAAAAACGAAAAAAAATATTCATCTCTATTATGTAGAGCGAAAGATTCATTCGGAGAGATAGGGTACACTGAGAAAAAAATGGAAAAAGAAAAAAAAAAACAGATACATATACACCTAAACATTAAAAGAGATTCATTCTTCTATTTGAGTAAATATGACGGAAGTTGAACGGGTGATGTTGGTGATTGTAATTGATTCAATGGTAAACCTTGTTGTTGTTTATTACCCTTTGTATAAGGAATCAAATTATTTAAATCAATATCAAGTTTTCCTTTGACATCAGCCCATGTATTATTATTATACGACTTTGCACTAGATGAATGTTGTTGTTCACTAAATAAAAGACAAATAAGAGTGTAAAATCGAAAAATGATTTTAAATTGAATGATAGTCGTTGTAGAAAGACGTCTTCTTTCCTATGTATTTAGTAATGTATACCTTCTACTAACAAAATTAAATTTAATAAAAATATTTTATCAAAATGAATCAACGTTTATTCAAAGTTTTTTCATTAGATAATGATTACCTCTTGAAATTTGTATTTTGAGGAATTTGTTTTATTAAAAATGGATCAAATTGTTGCGTCTGTTGAGTTGATTGTTGATTAAAATAGGATGATGATGATGGTGATAAAACTTGTTCCGTATTTTCAACAGATGGTTTTAACATAAAAAAATCAAAATCTGACATTGGTGAAGTTATTGCACTAGGTTGAAGAAGAGTGGGAGTAGGATCAGTTGAAATTAAACTTTCAAATGGATCTATGACAGATGTAGGTGCAGATGGTGATGATACAGTTGTTGAAGCTGCTTGTTGAAAATGGCCAAATTCATCATCAGCATCGAGAACTGGAGCTTGAATATACGGAGTAAATTCTAAAATAACAAACAAATGTCATTGCATCCTTTTACAGAAAAGAAAATGAAATTGAGAAATAGCATAATTGAACTCTCAAATATTATAAATTTACTTGTAATAATTCGTATTTCATCATGTGAGTTAGTTTACATTGCGAATCTTACCTCCTATAGATTCACGCAGAAGAAAAATTCACTTTATTTGGTTTGTTTTTAATAATTAATTCACAATATGTAACAACTTTAGACTAATCTTGTTTCACAAAATCATTACTGGGCGAAGCGCACTATCACGCTTTTCCTTAGTTAGTCCACTTACCATCAGAACATCTCAGCGAACTTTTAATCGATGTCTTTGGCAAGTTTCATTATTTAAACGTAAAACCACTAGCTCATCTTTCCTACCAAAAACTATAAAAGAATGGAATCGGTTACCGAGAGAGGTAATAGCTACTTTTAGTTCTCGAGCTTTTAAATGTGCATTGACGAAACATCTCTCTTGAAAGCGGTATATATTAAGTCATATTGTTTCCTCATTTTTTGACAAAATTGATCATACACCCCTCAAATAAACTTATGTTGAATATTTTTCTGAAACAAGACCATCTCTGCGAAGTTCGGAGTTTCGCTGAAGTATTGTCAATTTATTTACTTAAAATTATACTTATGTCGTATGCTCAGTATGTTAGGCCAGGTAGAGTGAAATAATCAACTTTCTTTTTCCAACAAAATTGATCAAACAGTCGGATTTTTAATCCTTTAAACAGTAGACTTTTTTTACAAAACTAGCGTATTTTGTGCAGTTTGTCTTGCTCTTTTGACTCATATGTACTTTAGAATTTTAAATCATAGAGCGCAGAAAAAGGAAACGAAATACAAAACAGCCATTTTTTCCGATATATTTTTGTAATGCTCCTCGTAAAAAATTCATATTTTCATGAGGAAAGCCGTTTTGGTTTTCCAAATCGTGCTCACGTCGATTCTCCACACAAAACTGCAACGATGTTCCAGTTTTTAAACCTTGAAAACGTTTCCTCATCAAAATATGAATTTTTACGAAAAGCATTACAAAAATATACCGAAAAAAATGACTGTTTTGTCTTTCGTTTCCTTTTTCTCCGCTCTTTGGTTCAAAATTCTGACATACGTGAGTCAAAACAACAAGACAAACTGCACAAAAACACGTTCGGTTTGTCAAAAGTCTACTATTTAAAAAATCAGAAAATCCAACTGTATGATCAATTTTGTTGGAAAAAGAAAGTTGATCATTTTACTCTAACTGACCTAACATAATGACTATATGACATAAGCACGTCCTATTTTAAGAAAAAAGTGGCAACATTTTACTGAAACTTCGAACTTTGCAGGTGATCTTGTGTGAAAGAAATATTCAACATAAGTTTATTTGAGGGGTGCATGATCAATTTTGTCATATACTGTATATTGTTATAGTCGGAAAATGATGCAGTCTCTTACACAATGTTAAACACTACAGAAAAAGAAAAGGTTCTATCATTTAAACAACCAACATAGCACGTTTTTAAGACTTGTTTTTAAACCCGATGATAATTTTCAACGTCGTTTAAAATACGTCTCTGAAAAATATTGATACAATCGCAAACGATATCTAATGATTGTTTAAAATCAGATTTAAATGAAAAGAAAACATTAACAACGCAAATTCTAACTCCTATGCTAAATTTTAACGAATGAATTACAAAAATATGTGTTTAGTAATTACCTGTTGAGAACAAATCTTCGTCAACAGATGGTACAGATTTTTTAACCTCGCTGACTTTTGATGGTGTTGTCGTTTCTTTCTTCAAGGACGATGAGAAAGATTTCTTTGGAGTTTCTGTGGATTTTGAAGATATTGTAGATGGTGGCGGTGAATCGTCTTGTTCTTCAAACGATGTTTTTGTTCCTGTTGTTTGTTCTTTAACTAATTCCTTAGCTTTTTGAACATAGTTTTCAAGTTTTCCGAACGATTCTTCAAATATACCCGGATTCGTCGAACGCCATCGACCATCAATATCACCAAGACTATCTTTGCCACCTGATGATTTATTATCATTATAATTGTCACCTTCAAAGAGATGGAACAAGAGAAAAACAATTACCTTTGTAAAAGAGTAAATAATGTCTCCAGAGAACAGTATGAATGATTTAACAAAGAAAAGAAGTTTGTAATGAAGATACCATCAGATGTAAGAACAAATGGCTCTTACAACTGCTTATTATCTCGGTTGCTTATCGAAGATAGTGGACAAAATGGCACACTGATGAATTTTCAATAATAAAGGTATCAATAGCAGTAGATTTTCACAGTCATTGTATAGTTAAAACGTATAGGACAATAAACCTATCGTATTATCGTAAAGTTCATCATAATTCTGTTAAGAAATAATTTTGCTTTGATAAAATAACAAAACAAGAAATACTGACTGAATAAAACAAAGTAATGATTATACTCAAAATGATACGTCGTCAGAAAAACCTATACTAACCCCTCCTATAGGTAGATATAGGCAATGACATTCTTAGTATTAAAGGGCAACAGTAGATATAAAAACTTACAATTGCGAGTACAATTGCGGATGCAACACCCTTAACTTTGCTTACCATGATTAGGAGTTTGTTATAAATACAAATTCTTACACACGAATTTTCGACCTATTTGTATGGTCCTTGTCAAGTGCAAAAAATCGTACAAAGTGACTACATTGAAGTAAAAACAAAACTAAGAAGAATGTATATATATACAGAATGATGTGGTTTTCTTTTCTATTTCTTTGTTCACATCATATCTCTCTATTTCATTATTCCTATTTTCTCCTTTCGCCCATTTATATGGCGTGATTTTTCTTGTCGCTTATAGAATATAGATCTGAACATTTTCGCGAAATGCCTTTTCTGTCTCATAGATCTGATGGAATACCGTTAGAATACACATATAATGGCACTAAACGATCCGTGTCATTAAGAGAAGAAGACTTGCTCTAATGACTAACGATTCTTTTACTAATAGTTTAATAGTTAGTCTTAATCATGGTAAGCCAAGTTAAGGGTGTTACAGCCGCAATTGTACTCAAGGTTTTGTAGATATAGGCATTTTCCGGTTTTTTGGGCCGACATAATAGAAGACCATGGTCTTCTATTTGGCTTTTAAGTCATATAATCGGCAGTGGTCTTCTATTATGAGAGTGGGGGAAAGATTATCTTAATTACTTGAATAATTATGTTTGTGTTGCGATCCGCTCATTCCAACATATTTGTCTCGATTTGCTTTTGCCTTCTTTCGCTCCTCTTTTAAACGATCATCATCTTGAACAAATTCAATAACATCTTTCACTTTATGACGAACTAGAATAGATAAAACATAGTATTATTAATAATGTTATCAAATACAAAGTCTATTTTGGATATTCTGAAATATATTTCTTGCTTCTTTTCCTAAGCAAATTCCTCATAGTATAAAACTGAAGTTTTCATTTTAAAGGAAACTCAAGTCTAGTCGATCTAGTAGGAAAGAATGTATAATCCTAGCAGTACCAATATGAATAAGAAACGACTGTTCATTTAGTTTTATAAAAGTTTAACTGATCTCATCGATTCACATTCGTCATTCTTCACGTATATAACAAGTTCGTTTAATTTCAAAAATTGTATGAGGGAGCGCACCTTTTTCATTGAAACATTCTTGATGATGATCAAAACTCTTATATTCATATGTTCCTGTTGAAAGGGTACCTTAAGAATCGATTCTCTAACATCGTTATAAAAATTGTGTACAGAGAAAAGCTGGAAAATCCAGCTTTTACTTATAACAACGTTAGAAAGTCGATTCTTAAGGTACCCTTTCAACAGGAACATATGAATATAAGAGTTTTGATCATCATCAAGAATGTTTCAGTGAAAAAGTGATTTTGACATTTATGAATTTCCTTGTTCGCGTGCGCTTACCATTGATGCCTTGTTCTTTTCCTTGTTCGTCGGTATATGCAAATGATTCGAGAGATTTTAAATCATATAAATGTTCTCTAGTCGATTGAATACATTTATCATTGCCATGTTTGAGTAAATACGATAGGAGTAGAAGGGATTTGTATGTACGACGCCAATATCTTTTATCTTGTTGAAACATTCTCTTCCATAACATACCCATTATTTCATTGTACAAATCGTACGAATAAGACAACTGAGATATTTCTTGTAATAATTTACCTACAAATATAGACACACAACAAAATAAGAAATCGTACATTGAATTTGTAAATTAGCGCAAAGAAAGCTTGTTTAAGTGATTGTGCATGATAGCATCTATATTTATCAATTTAATTAGATTGTTCTATTTAGGGATGGGATAGTTCCAGTTCCTAAAGTTCTTAAGAACGGGTCACCAGTTCAGTTCGTGTTGAACGGGAACTGGTTACCATTTCTTTACAAGAATTCAAAATAAAATAAAACTGATGTGACTAGTTCTACTGACTTGGTTTAGTCAACTAAACACACCATTTACCTCTGCCACATTACACAAAGTCAACATAAGTAGGTTCACCGGTTTTATTTCAATTTTTAATTTTTTGAAAAGAACTGAACTGGTACTGTCCCACCCCTAGTTCTATTACGGATGAAAGATACGCCGTCGATATATCAATGAATAATCAGCTGTCTACCACTATAGTTGTATTTTTACAATTGTTTTAGAGTATTATAACATGCGCTTTGTACTCTCGAAGAATAAATATCAGATCACGTAAAATTGTTCTAATGAATATAGATTTACCTTGTGGTCCCCATTGCTCATCATTTGTTGCTTCAACAATTTTCGCCTCTGTTTCAGTATAATTCATGACGATGTTCGTTACTTTATCGACTAATTCTCGCACTTTATAAGGCATTGTCGGTAAATAACTGCTAAAATTTAATTTTGATAATGAATCCATAAATATTGATAAATAATAATAACACTGACGAAAATGATAAAGCTGGTCTACAAATAAAACAAAGCATGAGTGAAAAAATGAAAACAATAAATAGAAACAAAATCCCGACGACGTAATTAAATCACAACTCATACGAATCTCGTATTTCATAAAAAAAAATCTAAGCTAAAAGTTAGCTGTTCAATTTAACTCTTAGACATTTATACAGAATAATTTACATCCTATACTGTATGTGCGTAAGGTAGTAATGAGTTATTGTCTGTATACATCTTAAAATTGATGGCATTAATCTTTGGTTATTCCTCAACTATCGTAATTTTCTCGATATAAGTCTCATGTTTGAAGTCCAAATTAAGGTGGATGTCTCATTTCAGTATAACTGATTTTCATTTTTACGCTCGACCTTGTTGAACAACTACATTTTAGCAGTAAAAAGGAATGGCACTAAAATAATTTGGTGATTCAATCTTCAGATGTCAACCTTTGTCATTCTGACGTATATAGACAAAAGGCAATTTTATTACTGCTTTCTATTAATGGCTTTTCTGGAAATAAATGATGGTTGTAAGATAAATTTATTTATTTAACGTATAACATGAATCATCTTGATAAAACAGAGTAATAAACACACCTTAGATTAAGATGAGTTGAAGGAATTAAAAAATAGCTCTAATTTTAAGCTAAAAGTTTAAGACTTTTGTGAAACACCTCGTAGCTGACGAACTATAGTTAATTATTGTTTAATATAAGGATGGAGAAGCTAAAATCGTTTTTTCTATGTAAATTCAGTGAACACATCGAATATATTATCAAGTATTTTATTGAAAAAATGTATTTTTGTATTTTCTATGGTAAAGTAAAACTGTAAGCACAAATTAATAAATAAATTATTTATCCAAACCCGCTTTGTTTTAAGCCAATAAATCCTGGATGTATGGTATTAGCCAAACATATAACCAAATCGATAATTGTATTATAGATATCGCTGAACTACGATATGTGGTTTCTGTCGACTGAATGGTTTATTTATAGAATATAAATTATTCTGTATAAATATCTAAGAGTTAAATTGAGCATCTAACTTTTAGCTTAGAATTTTTTATGAATTACGAGATTTGTATGAGATGTGATTTAATTATGATTCGGTTTCTATTTCTTGTTTTCATTTTTTCATTGATGCTTTGTTTTATTTGTATAAGATCCTATATGATTTCATAGGATCATATAAGATCCGATAAGATCTTACAAGATCCCGTATGATCCTATTATAGGATCCTTCGACCTGGGAGGTCGAGTCTGAAAACCTCCATATAAAAAATCGATGTTGTGATAATGTACCAAGAGAAAACGAAAAACATTTTGCTGAAGTTTTGAATTTCGAGTACCCTACATGCTCTTCTCGTCGTTGTTAGATTCGTTAAGACTAGGTTCTTCTAGTCAAGGGTCAAGTGAATCGAAGATGAATGTTACTTGTTTGTTTGTGCAATATTAAATTCCTTCTCGATTTGAAGTAATAACGTTTTGTCACCTGAATTTTTCAAATTTGTCGAATCAATATTGTCAAATTTCCCCTAGAATTTCGGCAATTGTCGAATTTCAACAATAATAATTTATTACTCCATTAGCAATTAAACAAGTAGTAATGCTAGAATACAAATAAAAAATACGATCATCGACGTTGTATAACTTTTATTGTCGAAATCCCCTAGAATTTTGACAGTTGCTGAAATTCTAGGGGAAATTTGACAATGTTGTCGAAATTCCGATTGAATTTTGGCAATTGTTGAAAGTCTTTCGGAATTTTGATATTGCCGAAATTCCAGTAATCCATTCGAGTAATGACCTGATGAAAAAGACATAATTAAAGCGAGTATTCCAAAATTAATATCTTCAAGGATTAATCAAAATTTTGGGATAATCATTTTTTTATATGGGCAGTCTGATTTGTATACTTTGAAGCTTTAATTCTGCCCTTCTGACGAGGTCATTCCGACTATTTGGCACAGAGATACCAGATCCAAAAAATGAAAATATGTAGATACCAAGAAGCAGAAACGAGGCAGAAAAAGGTTGAAAAATGAAAAATTTTCTACTAAAGCCAGGAGATCTAGGATCCCGGCATTTCTAAGTTGAAAATCGGAAAAAGTGTATTTAGAGCTTCCAGAGATCTCACCAACGAAAACATGTTTTAAAAGTCGGCTCCCGATTGATTTTCGGCGCAATTCATAGCATTCAAACAAGAAGAGTTTATTACTGATGAGCGCGATGAAGTGTACTTTACTAAAGTATTATGATAGAATTTAGTGTTTTTGTGGGTTGTTAGAAGCCCTGTCAAAAAACTACTAAAATGTATCTGTGATGTAACTGAAATATAGATTCTGAAAGTAGGCACTATAAGCTTATTCAACCATGTGAATAAAAATGGCTTATGAGGGAACTGAGGGCCGATGATTCCGAAGACAAGTTACTGAAAGATCCTACCGGATCAGATGTCGGAACATGTCGGAATCCGATAAAATCTGACACAATCTTACCGGAACCATGCCGTATTATGTCGAAACCCTGGTGCTCGGATTCCGAGCCGGAAGATGTTAATAAAGATCCGACCCGATCCTTCGAGATCCAGATATCAGATTTTGCTGAATTTGGCAGAATGTTACCGGTTTTCAGGTGGTTGAAGGCTAAAAATAGCCTTAGATTTTTTATTTCCTATTCTTATCCGTTCATTTCTAGTGGCTCCTGTCTCTAATGCTCTCATTCGAAAGAGTGTAAGAGCCCACTAACTATGGCGTGTGCAACATGTCTGTTGACTAGTATGAGTGATGACTCCCACTGTTAAGAATTTGAGAAGAAAATTTCCTTGGTTGGCAGCATATTTAAAATACTACTGTCGCGAAACAAAACGGTGAATATATTATGTGTATAATGCATAATGCATTCACCGTTCTATTAGAAAAAAAACGAAAAAAAAGAAGTGGGCATCAAAGGATCTGCCGATTTGTGGTGCCCGGAAATTAACGGATCCGACTGATTCCGGATGTCGGATTCGATCCTTGGATCTTCCAGGATTCAGATATCGGGAAGCGAAAGAGTTGAGCGGATTCCGGATCTGGTCGGTCGTCCAAACTCCAAAAATCACCGGAATTAAAAGTATCCTACAGGATTTTATGGGGCGAATTTGGCCTAGGTCGTTACGAACATATATTACGTCATCTTTCGATCATCTAACTTATCTTGTTATGTGTTTGCTTCGTAATTCTATGTACCCATGTTTGACACGTCATCAATCCAGGAAGTAAAACTTGTTTTCTTTACTCCTTAACTTGTGATCCTGTACTCCAAAGTTCTTCCTGTAGAGATATATACTCCTAGTAATACGGAATAGTGAGTCCCAGACACGAAAAAAAATGTCCCATTGTGGACTATTTTAAGCATCCAATTCATCGTGCGAGGGACACTTGTTTTTTCAGTGTACAAGAAAAATGTCGAGTTATAGACATGATAGGATCCGCAGAGGAAATCGAACTGAGATATTGCGTTTCAAGATAATGCTACTCTTCATTTTTATAGTCTCACTCGAAACAGAAATCTTCTTCTTAGCTCAATTTAGTTTTAAGCATCCGTTTTGAAAAATATCTCAATCAGTTTCTGTGTCTACAGTAGTGAATCATTCCTAATGAAAGAGTGATTCAAAATTATAAATAGTGTGCAAAGTATGTGAAAAGAACAAACTCTCTATTCCAAATTGAAAACACATTTTATTTCTATAAGAAATGAAAGAATATGTGCATTTCAAATTGAGACCACTTTTTAAATCTAATTAATAAACATTAAAAAAAAAGTGGGCTTAATCATGAAGTCTTAGAATATGTTGTGTGTACCTAATGATGATACAAATATCTACTTAAAAGCTGACACAATTGTCATTTTTCGATGGCAAGGTGTGGCAATTGTCACACCCAAAAATTAGTGTTGTTACCCACTACTAGGCAAATGCGAATGATCTAGGTATGATCAGTATATAGTTTCGAGTTATAGCTGTCAGTCATTAGATATCTTAAAATTTTGATTGTTATTTAATCCATTTAGTCTTTTTGTATATAGTTATTCTAAAATAAATCTTTTATCATATAACAAAATAGATTTTATATTATTTATTTTTTTATTTTCAGTATATTCAAGGTTCTTTCGATGTTATCTATGATAAAAATGTACTTATGCTCTCCACAGTCAAGGATATATACTTCATTCATAACAAAATAAGCTAGTAACGAAGAAGGGTTATACTTTTTTTGACGAAGAACGAAATAAAAACATTATACTGGTGCATGGCGATAACAGAAACATGAAAAATAGAAAACGAACAATCACATATTACCATTGAAGAGAATCACAATAAATATAGGAAAATAGTGTACGAGGCTAACTATGAAAACTCTAGAATTCAAATGTGCATTTAAAATAAGCGTTCAGTAAGGACAGAAAACAAAAACTTCTTGATCTAATTTAGTAATCTCCGTTTCTCAGCTGCCGGTTATATACAGATATCGGAATGATTTTCTGACAAAAATAAATGTCGAATATCGGAGAGAATTCAATTTAAAAACAAGAAATCTTTACGTTACCGTACACTCACTTTTTGAATAATAGCACGAAGTCTAATGAGAAATATCTTAAACTAAATTTCATTGGAGGAAAAAAAACAAAAAATTCCAAGAAAAATAATACGTAACAGATATGTGATGTCGGTATTATACTTAATTATCTAAGATTGTCTCCAATTGTTTTGGTTTTTCCCATGTAAATTCCTCACGACCAAAATGACCGTAGCATGACGTTGCGGAATAAATGGGTTTTTTTAAATCTAACTCTCTAGAAATAAAAGGTACTCAATTTAGATGAAATGAAAAATAGAATGGACGACGGCTATTTAGTCGAAAAATAATAAATGTTCAAAGATATTTTTTTTGACCATACCTAATAATCATTCCTGGTCTTAAATCAAAATTTTTCTTTACGATTTGTAATAGTTGTGCTTCCGAATATTTTGATGTACCATAGGAGAATACGGTGATAGATAATGGTTCAGCTACACCAATAGCGTATGATACCCAGAAGAAACAATTAAAATTAGAATAATAAAAACATTGATGTGAAACTACTTACTTGCACAAGACATCGACGACACAGTTTTGCTTTCACCAATGATTTAGCAACCCATCTCGCTGCATATGCTCCCGAACGATCTACTTTTGATGGATCTTTACCAGAAAATGCTCCACCGCCATGAGCACCCCTAAAATTGAAATAAACAGATTTATTTAACAATAGCGATGAAAAAATCTTTTCCTACTAACCATCCACCATAGGAATCAACAATTATTTTACGACCGGTTAGACCAGCATCACCCTATAATGATAAACATACATATTAACAAACTAACATTTAGAAAATTCATATTCGTCTCACTTGTGGTCCACCAATGACGAATTTTCCAGATGGATTTAGATGGTAAATGGTTTTTTCGTCCAAATATTTTTGTGGTACAACGGGTTTAATCACTTTTTCCATCAAATCTTTTCCTAGTTGTTCCATGGTGATATATTCATCGTGTTGAGTTGATATGACAATTGTATGAATACGTTGAGGAACACATGCACCATGATCAAATTTATACTCAACTGTCACCTAAAACAATTAGTTATCCTATGAGAGAAATTGAAAGGCATTTAAATGATGAACATGAGACGTTTCTGTACTTTTTGATATTTTCTCATTCGTTTTTGATAATTTACCCTAATTCCGGTATCTAACGTGCTTTTACAACTACAATAAAAGCTCGTTATCACGAAAAACAATATGTTTCAGAATAAACGGTATCCGATTTCGCTGATCAATCAATATATTCTTATATTCTTATTTTTCAGATTAAACTGGTTTACCTGTGTTTTTGTATCAGGTCTTAACCATGACAGTTGTCCATTTCGTCTTTGTTCTGATAGTTTTTGATTTAATCGATGTGAAAGCATCACGGTGAGTGGCATACACTCTTCCGTTTCATCTGTTGCATAGCCAAACATCAGTCCTTGATCACCAGCTCCAATATCTTCATCATGTTTATTTTCATGCACAGCTTGAGCAATATCCGGCGACTGTTGTTCAATAGCAACGAGTACGTTCATCGTCTTGTAATCAAATCCTTTGTCTGATGAATCATAACCAATGTCGCGAACTTTATCACGTATAATTTGTTGATAGTCTATTCTTGCGTCAGTTGTAATTTCACCGCATACTAACACCATACCAGTTTTTGTGCATGATTCTAAAAAACATTAAATTTAGGAAAATTACATTTCGTTTTATTTATCTTACCACATGCCACTCGTGAATCAGGATCTGCAGTTAAACACGCATCCAATATCGCATCACTTATCTGATCACATATTTTATCAGGATGGCCTTCACCGACCGATTCTGATGTAAATAGAAACGTTTCATTTGCATTCATTGTTGATTCCATTTCGATGCAGTGTCTATGTACGTGAAGAAGATACGATATCGCGTATGCGCTTTATTCTATGGTGAGGAAGCGAATGACTTAAGACACCTGTAAAATATCAAATTGTTATATTTCTCTCTTTTACGTTTTATTAAACTATACACAATTGACAAAGAACGATAAAAGAATAAAATTGAAAAAGGACTTAAAGGACATAGGAGAGCAGAAGCTCGGTGCATGATACGTCAGCAGTTCCAAGTTACCTAAAATTACTAAATATTTAAATTGAAACTTTTATAAACTTTGATTGTGTAGCTAACCATTGCTGTTGTCTTTTAAGTAAATGAGATAGAAGAAATTGCTTTTGCAGTTTGTGTTAGTTTTATTGAACAAAATGTTTATATCTGCAATTTCGCCAAATGTAGGAATGATTTTTGATCCAACGGTTTGTCCACGTAACGCAACGCTTCGCTGATCAAGCTTTTTTGAAATTTTTTTCATCAGAAAATCGATAGGAGCACATCACTAGACGTAGCTTTTCATGTTGATCACGAATCTGACTTCTTTTTGAAGAAAAAAATTACTTTTCAATATAAGAATTGTAATTTAAAATTTTTAAAAACTTTAATTTCAATTTTCTGACCTAGACATTCTATTCAAAAATTTTAAAAGCATACCATTGAATAGAGAATTCAATTCTCTACAAAATGGCTCATTTTGCTTTGAGATTTATTTTTCTGTTGAGACACAGTGACTCCTTGAACGTTTCAACTTTCGCCTTGATCTGAAAGCCTCGGAGAATTTTTCGAATTTTATTTTCAACTCGAATCCTTCAGGAAACCTAGAACTACACAGACTATAAATATAAAGTTTTTCGAATGACGTTTAGTGCCTAAAATTGGTGCAACAAAAAAAGTATGTTAGAGCATTACCAAAGATGTCACAGCGTTACTTTACAAAAGCGACTTTTCTAGACATGGAGAAGAGTTTGTAAAAAATCTTTTTTACCAAAGGAAAGCCCGTTAGCTCCTCTACAAACTTGCATCTAGAAACTTTTCTGATGCACACAGCTCAATTCGTAGGAAATCAGCGCTGTATCGGGAGTTCTCAAAAAATAGGGACCTTTTCTGTCACAGCGTTACTCGCGAAAAAAAATCTTTCTGAAAGCTTGAGTCTTGACCAGAAAATCTTCATTTTTATATCGTTAGTAGAGTTTGGTGAGCTGCGTCGAATGGCACCAGAACGAACTTCCTAGCTTCTACAGTTTTCGAGAAAAATGCAAATTATTGTGTCAAAAATGTCTCGGCGGCTTGTCCAAACGTAACGCTAAGTTCTCTTCATATACGTAGCTTCCTAAGTGCGACCCTAAGCCGATTAGTATAAAGTGATCGCAAGTTCGAACGAGTAAAGTAACATATTCTGCGTTTCCAAAACGCGACCAATTTTTAACTAATGAGTAATCAACAATCGTAATTTGAAATATAGATATATAAATTGGTCACTTTCTAGAAACAATATATCAATATAACAATAATAACGGATGATGCAAAAGTTCATCGAATACATTTTTATATCGACAGACATTATGAATTTTTGCAGAAATTTTGACCTTTTTATTTTGTTATTTAGTCATTTTTTTTTACGAAATGTTTACGACATGATCTACAGAATTACGCAACATAGAAAAGATTTGAAAACGTGAGAAAGTTTTCTGAATGTAGCAGATTGACAATTGAATGTTCCTTTTTTTTAAAAATTACTTGAATGCAGAACCATAAGGTCAAGAAGTAGAAGAAAAAATATGTCAAAAACTTAGGAAATTTTAATATCTTTGTTGTCTGGCGCCATTTGTTAGAAAGAAAAAAAGAATTTTACATTGTAAACTTGAGAGTGACAATCATTTTTCAATATCTGTCTTTCTACGAGATTTTACTGAAAACAATTTGTCAAAAAATCTCTCATTTTTTTCTTTACCGAATTGTGGGAGTCTGCCGACATCGCAACTTGTGCGTTATTAAATTTTAAAACTTCATTTGAATAGTCAAGTACTTAACTCATTTCATTTAAACATAAAATTCATTTTTGAAACTGAAAACAAGAATATATCCTCATTTCCTGATGTCAAGTTATAAGACGCCGCTAATTCAAAGTTGAAGCAGTATTTTATTTTTTGACTTATTTATACATCACTGGATAGAGCTCGATAAACTGATCACGAATATGTAGTTTTCAATTTTTCGAAACGTTTATTTTTCATGTCGAAAAATCGAGAAAACTCGAGCCACCTCAAAAGTCGGAAGAAAGGAATCTGTAAATAAAATTTAAAATCAGTTCTCTTATTCCGCCATCACATGTATGTAATAGCAGTTCAAGTCTAAACTCAAAAATTTGTTAATAGATATTTCATTTAGGCCTAATTGCCTACTTTCAGTATCGATAGTGTTCGTTGTTAAATTAGAGACTTTTAGCAATTTTTTCAGAAAACTGTCATTTTCGCGAAGCAATAAATGATTTTTGCTCGATGTATAATGAAAGTTTTTAAAAGGGTCTTTTAGATAAATATTTCTTGAAAAATCAAAAAAGTGACGCTATTAAGTACTATAATCACGCGTTCTCAGTCAAACGAAACCTTCCTCATTTTTCAAGTTATTACTTAAGGTTGAAAAAAATTTAAGCGAAAACACCCATTTTGTATCACGACTTTGCCAAAAACGTCCTAAGGCTTTGAGATAAATAGTACAGTATGTTCAGTTCTTCTTCTTCTTACACATCCTGATTGACCCAATAACTTCTAAAAATGACTACTCTATCTAGGACGTTAATTAGCGCAAAATCATTTCAAAATATTTTCATGTTTTTGATTTGAGTGCCTGATGCCAGAAATGGGACCAACATGGGAAAGCCCAACTGTTGTCGATGTCTGATCTCAAATTTCAAACAGAAACCGGACGGCTGATAAATCGGTCAAAAAAGCTGACTATTTTTAACCATTGATAAATATATAATAGAAAACAATTGAGATCTTGTGAATGTTTTTAGATGTTAGAAGTAAGCGTCCAAAACAACCATTAGCACAGCAATAAACGAAAGCAAATCACAACGTAAGCGAAATTGCACATAGCTCTATATGACAAAATGAACAATCAAGGTCTAAAAAAAATTTTGTGTATAAAAAAAACAAGAGTATATAGTGTATGCGCATTCAACGTGACCCTTATTTAATATGTCATTTATTCTTTGTTCTTTCTCTTACATTCTGTGTACGGTACCTTTAACGAGAGAACTTTCACATATGGTCACCTCCGTTTTCAGTGATATTTTGTCTATCGATTGCTACAGTAGTGTGCTAATTAAAGTCTAATATAAAATTAATTTAATGTTTCTTTCTAAAATTATACATTTTATTTTGCTCGATTAGGGAAAGGGATACGAACAAGAGAAGATTGAGAGAATTTTTCACAGATCGGCTAAAACGCGTAACTGTCACCCTCAGCTGCGGTGGGTTGAGCGATATTTTTTCTCTCAAATCAGCCTCAAAGGCACATTGTTAGACGCAGTCTTTTGCGCTGATTACGAATATCAACTTTAAAACGAACGAAACTCAAATTTTTAAATCGAAAATTCAAATTTAAACTTGAGTAGTCTTTTTACTTCAATTTTCTGACCTACTTAGCTTATTAAAAGATTTCAAAAAGTATATCATTGGATAGAAAATTAAATTCTCTACAAAATGCACTAATGATTTTGTCAAAACAAATTTTAAAAAGCGCATCTTACACACTAAACACGTTTTGGCTGGTTTTTGGTGATTTTTTGCCGAATTTGAAATGGTACCTTTTTTGGAGCAATTGTACGAAACTCAAAAACATTTCTCCCACTATTCTTTTTTACTTAGTTTGGTAGAGGACACTCAATTGCATAAGGCTTCGTGCAAATCAAATTTATAAAAGTCTTTTTACCGGTGGAAAATATAATGATAGAACCCACCGCAAAAGAAAGGAAAAAATGATGTAATTTCGTCACGGAGCCATTTCGCTTGTGTCTTTTCATTTAAACACTTTTAAGTGAAAATAAAGAAATAATTCGAAAGCTCTTTCAATGCTCTACAACTTTTATATTAGACTTTATTTCTCAATATGTCTCATTTTAGAGCATTTTTTAAAGTTTGTAGAGCACTAGAAAAAAAAGGCTAAAAAGTGTAATTTCGTCACTACATCTATTTTGCTCATAAAAGCCGTTCTACTTAACCGACTCATTCAAAACTTTTACCACAAACCAAGGATTCTACCGCACATCTCTGATAAAAATTTCATCATCTTTTGTCCAATATTTGAGGAGAAACAGAGCCCAAACGTTGAAAAAATGTAATTCCGTCACGGGCGTTTAAGCCGAGATATTCTGATTCTCGCTCCCTGCTTGAAGCAAAAAACTTTTCTCTAATTTTCTTTCCGAAGTTATACACAGCAGTCATGACGGGCGAAAAAATGTTAGTAGGTTCGTTGGCCAGTTTTCTTGATCAGTGAAAGATATATCGACGATTGTGAACTCAATGGTATTCATTTCGAAGCAAAACTTGATAGAATTCGATCAACGTTGTGTGGATTTATCATAGCTGTTATCGTCACTGTTATGATCAAATATAACTAATACTATCTTTTCTTATCTTTATTTCAAATCTAACTTTATCATAACTACTGATAATATACACTGAGAAAACAAACTCTTATTAACAGTTTTAAAAGTATCAGACAATAATTCAGGATGACAACTAACCGGGACTGCGTGAGTATTCAAAAAGTACTCTGCTAGAAAAACCGAACGAGTAGTCAGACATTTTGAGTAATCGTTGAGTATTCACATGAGTACTCACCAGTGAGTAATGAGTCCTGTGGGGACGGCTTTCAGTACTCATGCTCGAGTATTGTTGAGTAAGCATATAAATTTTGGCTAAATACTCATGAGTATTGTTCATCTGGTATTTCCATATCGAGGAGTGATCTCAGGCAGCTAGAGTTGGGCTACGAGTCTATTCATAGACGAGTCTATCTTTGACTATATACAGAGAGACCCGGGAGAAAAATATCATATACATATTCTATGTTTGTTTATTAAATTCTACATTCTTTATACAGTTTCATTTTTGTAAAAGAAAATGGTGCATGAATATTTTCTGAGTACTCACTGAGGAAAAATACTCAAAAGTTGTTAGTAGAACTTATATGAGTACTCATGGATGAATTATGAGTACTTTCACTAGGGATGTGTTTCTCCCATATATCATAACGCCCATGGTAGAGAAAACAAATACAGAAACATGTTTTTTGAAAGTGGATAGTACGAATCCTCAAAACAGAAAAATATTCCGAACTTTAGTTCTTTTTTTGTAATCGATGTAAAAAAAGGTTGATTTGGGGGAGTCTCAAAGATGACTGGAATAAAGACCAGTACTAATTTATTGTGTGTCTGTCGAGAAGGATTAGCAAATCTGGTGAAAACCTATATGCATATGTACGACCTACTTAATGCAGTGCGAAAAACTGAAAAAAATCGTTTCCATATGCAGGAACCCTAGCATAATGTTTGAAAACTTCTTTGAATACTGAACTGAATTCTACTCTTTTCGCTCATTTCTACAAGCTACTGTCGTAATCAAATAGCGAAATTTTTTGTTCATTTGGATCAATTTTGGTGCAAATGTAAAGTTTTTAATATTCAGTGAGTAGTTCAGTGAGTGTTTTCTGGGAAATCCTAGGAAAATTTCATCTGCAGTATAATTTAACATTATTTTTTTCTAAAATGGCGATCTAGTGATTTGTACGATACATTTGGTAGACCGTAGGTTATCCTGACTCTTCATTATAAATCATCAAAATCTCTTTCATTCCGATTCGTTTATCGTGAGCTGATTGTCTCCTGAGGTCATTCTTTGAGAAATGACATTTTGTTATTATCAACACTAAGATGACCAATCGAAGTTTTAGAAATATCTAGTGACCAGTCAATTTAACATCATGAAACGTTCTTTCTTGGCAGTAAAAATCCTATCATATCAATATGAACAAATTCATTTGGAGTCGCGGAAAAGTGCTTTTTCGTATTCGCTACGCTTGATTATCCAGAAGATTTTCTATTTTTGAAGAGGGATACTGCCAAAAGTTTAGGAAAATTTTCAAAGCAAAATGGTAAAAAAGAAAATTCCATAAGAAAATATTATTAGTTTCAAAATTTTTCTTAAACTTATGTCAATACCCTCTCGAAAAATAATAAATCTTCAGTTCAGTTCAGTTTATTCTGGTATAGCCATGGATACATGGAAAAACATTGCTAGTGCAAAAGTTTGTAACAAAGAAATCTGCGTTTGATTAAGAATCTACACAGGTAACTTTGTCAACATGTTTGTAGAGAAAAAATAATAATTTCTTTGGATTATCGAGTGCTATGAATACGAAAAAGCAATTTTCCCTGACTCTATATGATCTTTATTTTTTGTTAGCGATATGCGAAACCGCCGAACGAGTGCGTCAATCAACCTAAAAAGTCAGGCTACAGTAAGAAAATAGTACGTTTGAAAACATCACTTTATCGTTGAGCATTACAATCAATAATTTTAAGAATTCTTTAATAACAATGTTTTGTTACGAGAATCGTGTGAAAAAAGTAATGCCTTAAATCTTATCAAATTCTTATAAGAATCTTATATGTAATAGGCTTATAGAATCACTATCATCTAGTCAGAGATGGGCAAGTCTGGGTGATCGCCCTCCAATTTTCCGAAATATTTGAAAATTTAATTTTTGGTAAGTATTAAAAAGTTCAGATAAGCTACAATATAGTACTATGATACCTTTTTTTTGCTCGAGATTGTTATTTTTCGACACCCCCCTAAAGTTGGAGAAATCGAACGGCCCTGCTTAAGCCACTGCGCGGTAACATGAAAAAGATAAAAGAGTGAATTCAATTTCTTTATTCTTGTCATCTTTTTTCAAATTTAAACTGAAAAGTCTAGCCACAAATGTGAAAAAGATCCGTCAAGAAAAACTCTCACTCTCTTATGCCTTCAATTCCAGTTCGTGTGGAAAAGCCTATCAGTCCGGACTTGACCTTGCTCATCTCTGTATTTAGTAATTTTTTCGTAAGAGATTCCGTATGTATCTTATATGATCAGTATGTTGGCTAGATCATGTGAACAAGTAGTAATGATTTGTTTATTTTAATCTAAAAGATGCCTAAAGAATATTCATAATCATTATAAAATGGCAAATATACTTTGTAACTTTGTATTCATGTCTAGGCGTGTTTCTTAAAAAATTCAATTGTGTCTTTTGTTGCCTTTTTCTTTTGTTCTTTCGCTTGGTCCGTATCCTGAGTTCGAACAGCAAAACCGTGCACTGTTCCTGGATAATCGATGAACGTGCCCAAGGCTTTTTTAGTTAATACTTGTTCGTAATGTTGACGTAATTCGGGCGTAAAACGTTGATCTTGTTCAGCACAAACGAACAACATGGGACGCTGAATTTTTTCGGCTTCTTCTTCTTGGATAAATGATGGATGTGCGACAACACCAGCTTTTACCTTGGATTTGTCTTGTTTGCAAATATGAACGACAGGTGTGGCACCATAACAAAACCCGACAACCTGGATTGACTGATGTTTCTGTTCGATAGCTGCAATAAATTTATCGGCGAATGCCCGTGATTCTAGTGGAGGATGTTTTTGTATCCACGCTGGCAATTTATCCATCAAATTAGTATCATTGTGATTCATTGGATCACCGTTAAATAAATCTGGAATGTAAACCGTAAAATTGGAGGAGGCGTATTCATCGGCGACTTGACGAATATTGATAAAGCCAAAGCCAAATATATCAGTGAATACCACAATAGCTGGTTGACCAGAACCAGTTACATACGTGGGAACATCACAAATTTGTTCAACTTTACCAGTGACTGAACCACTTTGTTTTGTACCTGGATCGACGCAACAGGCTGTTGATGTATCACTACTCATTTTTAGACGAACTGAAATAGAACAACGATTTATACCGCAAGTTATTCTATAATGAAACGGATAATTGGTACATTTGCTCCCATTAAGATCACTGATATTAAGGGGAATAACCTCTTGATGATTCCTCGTTTTTTTAAACATTTTGTAGAGCATATCGAGCTTTCATATTTTCTGAAGTCTACTCGCTAAATCGTCACATACTGGTTGATTAGCGAACTTTTTAATATTAAAATTCTCTCCAATAGTCTTTTTTGAGAAAATCATAACTAAGCTGAAAAAGATTATAGACATGCAGCTCAAAAATATTTTCAGAGCAAAGTTGTTTTTAATTGTAGTTGCTAATACATAAAAACGAAGAAGTTTGATTGAAGTAGTTCAATACTGTTGTAGACAAAACCATTTAAAGCGATTATGCCAGTTTGCTACATTACATTGTCTTGCATCGAAATTTCCTAAAATTTGTTTTTTCCAAAAGATTATAGCATACCACAATTGATGTACACTATTCAGAACAAAAATGTTCTATATTAATAATAGATTAATGATGTAAAATCATCTATTATACTGTGGAAAGCTCAAATGACCTTAGAATAGTTCGTCAATCTGACCAACGTTGTCAACGTCAGTTTTTTTTCAACATACTCCATTTAGTCACAACTGTTCGCAAGAATTTTCAAAATTAATTTCAGCACCAAAAAAAAAATACGCTTTTGCAGATAAATTTAAACCATAGACTTTTTAGAATAGAAATAACTCGATTTTTTATATCCAAATACATAAAAATTAAGCTATATTCTCTTCTACACGCGTTACGAATTTCTTAAAAACTAGGTCTTAAACTTATATGAAAAACAACCTTGGAAAAGCTCAATATTGTTTAAACAAACAATAGCATAATTTGATGTCCTTTACAAAATGTAATGCAAAAACATATGGTAGTGATTAATCTAATCTTAAATAGACGTATGGAATACGTATGGCATAGGACTATATGAAAAACAATAACTGAAATCTATTACAAAACCGTACAGATGATAAGATGGTAAAACATTGCAGAGAAAGTATCATAATCAGCAACTCAAGCAAAAAATAATCATTTTAAGCAAATAGTGTGTAATGAATTTCTACATGAGAATTAAATAATCAGCTGAAATTATTTCACCTTACATGTGTGCTGTCGCTGTACTATGTTTGGTTGAAATAAACGTTTGATGAATGCTTGAGGTAAACGCGACAAAAAAATCCCTTTTTGAAGCATAGGACGATAGATGCTTAGAAAGAATAGAGCACTGCTACTTTTTCTTTATCTCGCATACGACAACATATTCGACCACGTTTTTTTTACAAAAGAATGAAGAAAAGAAAAGAAAGATCTTCTTAATAACACGAGAATGAATGATGACTAGAGATGAGATGAAAGTGTTTCGATAGTCTTTTTCGTTCCATTCTGAAAGTGATGCGTTATTATAGATTTGTTATTCTCTATCGTCTATCGTATATATTTCCTTACCGATAGGCAATTATCGTTTATATAGTTTGTATTTTTCTCTAATGCATAGGCGATAGTCGTTTATTTATACGATAGCCGCTTATTCTTAGCTAGTAGAAGAACAAAAAGAAAATAAGTTTCATCGATAACCCGCAAACCACAGTAGAAGAGTAAACCATTGTTATGAACTGACATTGACTATTCATCAATTGGAGAGTTTCAGCCACACAGAAATACTGTTTGGCACATACATACAAACATGCAAAATAATAAAATTCTCAGCAAACAAATCACTGAGTTTTACAAATAAGGAAATCTGTTCAAAAATTTGTCTCAAGTGAAACCAATTTATCATGTATCATGAGCGAATATTTAGGTAGATGAACGACGGATAGATGAAATAGCATTGATGTTGTTGAATTTGAATTATTATCCATTGAACGCTGACATAGCACACATTCCACTCCACCTCCATCTTTCTCGATAAAATAATTTCACCTCCATCTTTCTCGATAAAATAATT